AGCAAGTAGAGGTTGTATACATATAGCTAGAGACTGGCGTCGAGCAAGTAGAGGTTGTATACATCTAGCCAGAGACTGGCGTCGAGCAAGTAGAGGTTGTATACATCTAGCCAGAGACTGGCGTCGAGCAAGTAGAGGTTGTATACATATAGCTAGAGACTGGCGTCGAGCAAGTAGAGGTTGTATACATCTAGCCAGAGACTGGCGTCGAGCAAGTAGAGGTTGTATACATATAGCTAGAGACTGGCGTCGAGCAAGTAGAGGTTGTATACATCTAGCCAGAGACTGGCGTCGAGCAAGTAGAGGTTGTATACATCTAGCCAGAGACTGGCGTCGAGCAAGTAGAGGTTGTATACATCTAGCCAGAGACTGTCATAAAACAGGCAGAGGTTGTTCACATATAGCAAGAAAGTGTCACGTAACAGGCAGGGGTTGTTCCCGTATCGTCCATTACCATGCATCACCTCGCAAACCTTCCTTTAAACCATGTTCCTATAATGTAATCCTACAGAATCGAATCTACAATCATGCACGTTAAATGTTGTCTACAAAGTCCAGATTGCAAAGTATTTTCTACAGCCTTATTGCATTATCTACTTTTATGCGTGTTGTCATTTAACCGCTGCTGATCTCTGAGATTACAGGAAATTGAGTCAAGAGAATTCAGCTTGCCTGTAATTGATTCCAACTCGTCTCTTTTGTCTTGGTTTCCGAGTTGAAGCAGTTATATATTCAGTTAGAGCGATATAAATCACGATGTAGCCTTCTCTCGTCACACGTGGCAAACATCAGAAGAGGTTCGAGATGCGTAGCGCCTCGTTCTGGTGCCCGTGGGGATGCGAGCGGGCACACGGCAAGTGTCACAGGCACCGACACCGACGACATCAAACACCGACACCGACGACATCAAACACCGACCCAAACGACATGAAATATGAAGGGACGGAATCACTTGAGTCTCTCGCACCTTGTTATTATCGACGTAGATTAGCCATTATGTCAATTTTCTCGTCAGTGTACGTTTCAATCTGAGATCCGTTTGCAAGAACAAGACATCAATTCCCAAAGCCCACGGAGATGAGGACGTAACTAAAAGGTTTACCTACAGAACTACATTCTGTTGGGTTTAAAGTGATTCCTGAAATATACCTTTCAGTTCAGTACATTAGCGATCTTAAGATCAGGGTACTGGTTGCGTAGTATCGATATATTTAATATGAGAAGGAAGCCTAGCAGTTTAACATGAACACCCCACTCAGACACAGTATATTGACCCTGAGCCGACCAGTCCTTGTTTTAGCCCCTTAATGCCGAGCGCAACAACAAGTACCATCTATAAACGTCTTTGGGTATGACACAGCCGGGGATCGAACCACAACATACAGATCACATGTGATCTCACTGTCAGCCTCCCCCGCCCCCCTACGTTTAATGTTGTGCTGACGTTGCAGAAAGGGAATTCCGTTGCGACGTATTCAGGCCACTGGTTACTTTTAGTGTCCAATCCATTTACTTGGAGTCGATGATAATCTTTAAGTACCCAGACGTGCAGTACGTGACCCGTGGAAGCATGTCCTATGATGTACATACTGCCGAGAGCCCGTGACGGGTATATAGGTGGACGTTATGAGGCAAATCACATTTGTGTATTGTATAACCTTGTTATGAGGTATATTCAACATGTCTATTGCATAACCTTGTTATGAGGTATATCAAACATGTCTATTGTATAGCCTTGATATGAGGTATATTAAACATGTCTATTGTATAGCTTTGATATGAGGTATGTTAAACTTGTCTATTGTATAGCTTTGATATGAAGTTTATTCAACTGGTCTATTGTACAGCTTTCATGTGAGGTATATTAAACATGTCTATTGTATAGCTGGTCTATTGTAGATCTTTGATATTAGGTATATGAAACATGTCTATTGTATAGCGTTGATGTGAGATATATTGAACACGTCTATTGTATAGCTTTGATATGAGGTATATTAAACATGTCTATTGTATAGCTTTGATATGAGGTATATTAAACTTGTCTATTGTATAGCTTTGATATGAAGTATATTCAACTGGTCTATTGTACAGCTTTGATGTGAGGTATATTCAACTGGTCTATTGTACAGCTTTGATATGAGTTGGCTGGTTGGTTGGTTTGTTGTTTTACGCCGCACTCAGCAATATTCCAGCTGGACCAGACAATCCAGTGATCGATGACATGCACCACCTGATCCCGTTAGTCGCCTCTTACGGTAAACATAGTCGCCTGTTACGGCAAGCATGGGTTGCTGAAGACCTATTCTACCCCGGATCTTCACGGGTGTCTAAGAGCTATGAGTAGCGTCAGTCCGTGTTGACTTATTGAAGTAATGACAGTTGAAACACAAAGACCACGCTGAGGAACAAGGTCCCCTCCTCTTCTATACCAATCATGTTAGCTCTTTTGATACACAATCCTGAACAGTAATAATAGTTTTCCATCTGTCCCAGATCTGATCAATGCTATCGGTATGTATGCTCCTGTTGACCAGGGAGAGATATGGTGTTTGTGATGGATAGTCTCATGTGCATATTGTCCTTCATTAATCATATATCAAATAAAAAAGCAATTACGGAAAGCGTATCGAGTGAGTTTCACGTCATTTAGGTTTAAGTGAGCTTGATGCCCCTGTGTGCCCCCTCTCTATCACATCCTCTATCACACCCTCTATCACATCCTCTATCACAGCCTCTATCACATCCTCTATCACATCCTCTTCCGATCACGACAGATCTTATGGAGATATACGCTACATGGACGTCAGATAGTGTGATTGCAAAAATTCACTTACAGTTTATCACGATAGGGTAATTGTTTTTCAATGGTGACATAATTAACGCTGTTAGAATCGATTCAGGGTTAGTGGTAGACAATCACCAGACTCAGGGGAGGGGGATCCAAGTCGACGAGATTGGATACCGACAGGATAGGATGTTTAAGCTAATCTATGCGTATTGCTTGATATCAGTAGTAGGTGAGTGAACGAACGGGGAGGGTTGGGTGGTAGTAGTAGTCGTGGTCGTGGTCGTGGTGGGTGATATGTCTTGTATATGATATGTTATAAAATGAGAATGAACAGAGGTGTTAAACTGCCTGCCAAAAGAAAATACGCAGTTTGAAATGTGATTCGATCAAACAATTTCAAACGACATCAAAACGTTACTAGACTGTAAACAGTGCAAACTTAAGGTCCAAAACACGACTGCGATACTTATATCAAATACATCCCCATCGAAGAACCATTCTTGTTTGCTTCATTTTGGGCCACCACCAAACATGGATATTTACTATCTTTTGCAGTTGACAATGCGATTGAACAGAGCTGTTATATGAATGTGATAAAAGTGTTCAAGATCCCCCAAGTCTTAGATAAGTCGGGGGAAGACGCCCGCAGGGAACTGACACAAGCCTGTTAACTGGCATGGTTAGAAGGTTTCTGTTGTCCGTAGATAGGTGCAATGTGTTTGTTTGTTTGTTTGTTTGTTGTTTTACGCCGCACTCAGCAATATTCCAGCTATATAACGGCGGTCTGTAAATAATCGAGTCTCAACCAGACAATCCAGTGATTGACATAATGAGCATCCATCTGCGCAACTAGCATACGGTGATATGCATCAACCAAGTCAGCTTGCCTTACGACCCGATCCCGTTTGTCGAATCTTACCACAAGCATAGTCGCCTGTTACGGCAAGCATGGGTTGCTGAAGACTTATTCTACCTCGGATCTTCACGAGTTGGTGCAATGTTAACCAGGCGCGTCTGGTGCACCGTGTCTCTACCCCCACCCCCCATCCCCCCATCCCCCCACCCCTCCTCGACATACGACCAGGTACAGAGGTTGCCGGTAAGACGGAGGTGATGCGACTGCACAGTCTAGCCTCATCAGTCGGAAATCAATATCACAAATATGTCACAACTACCTTGCACGAGTTAAGTCGCTAAACAAACACCATTTCTCAGTATTCAAATACTACACAGCATTAGCGCTAACCATATTACGCCGTTGAAGTCTACAAAGCAACTTTAAGGAAATAACAGGCGTTCATCTAGTGTGTGTTATCAGACGTTAGATTTATTGAAGAAGACGTTAGCGTAATAACTGAACACGGCAATCCAGTTATACTGTTTCGTCTCCTTCAGCACCGACGGAATCAATGCCGCGAGATTTACAATAATTATTTTTTTATGTAGACACAAAATGTTTATGTTAACAACATTTTTATTATACTGCATAAAACAGAAATTGTTTTCCGTATACTTTTTGTCTACTTTGTTATCCGTCAACTTCCCAGAAATGTCTATGAAACAATATTTTATTCTAAATGCGAAGTCCGGATAGGAGGATGTCCAATGTAACAAGGTTCAAGTTTGTCTGCCCCCTCTCTACATGTAGTCGTGACCATGACCAGTCCCAACTACATTGATATTGCGATCTTTCTCCAACTGTTATCTAAAGCTTATCACCACGAGGCAATATAGATTTTGCTTGTTTCAATTTACCCTCAATATGTGACACTTATTTCGACTGCCATTAGCGACAATAGATCTGTGTAAAATATCTTATTATATTTTTTATCTTTCATTTGAGACCTTTTTAGTTAAGTGGTACCATTAGCGATCCTGATAGATATAGGTAAATTATATCAGTAAAATTTAACTGTATACCACGTCTGTTATGAAACATATTTTGGAAAAACAAGCTGGTTATAATTTCCGGGTGAAAACAAAAGGATAATTCTTTAACATTAAAACATCTTCGACGCTCAACACTTACCTTATTGATTATTCTAAATGCGAAGTCCGGATATATATTCTCAAATAAATAGACATGCCAGAAATATTTATGCAAGAGACTATCCAACAATTCTTTCAAGATAAATGCATGAACGGTTATTTCATAGCAACATACAAAGTCACATTTCTAGCATCCCCCCCAAAAGTTAGGAACGTGACTTACCTGATTGCTTCTAAGTTCCACAGAAATGGGTTGATATGTTAGCAATAATCTACAGCGGCAGAGATACAGAGGGGAGTTTGTGATGTTCTGCTTGCTGTAGGCGTGTTATCTCTCCCCTGCTTGGCTTGTAAGGACCGATACCGATGTTGCCCGGACTTTATGTAGCTCTCCGCCCACAAGACTGCTACACCCGCACACACACAAACTCACAGACTACTTAGAATAGGAAAATTGATCAGATCTCAACGATACACAATAGCCTTCCTGTTTCAACCCCGTCATCAAATAATCAGGTGCCCAGTCCCCAAGTTAGCTTGTTCAAATAGCCACTCGTTGCTTTCTCTACTGAAGTCGCTGTAAGTCGCCGGGAACCAATGCGGTGGAAGGGACATCCTATAGCTCATTGATTGGGCGGGACTTTGTCTCCCTACTGGACGTGTTGAGACGAATAGCCAAATAAGGTTTAAATTTGATGGGTCTCTATTCTCCGCAACTGCCGACAGTGTATTTACAAGAGTCTTTCGTCAGTCAGGAGTAAAACAAACCGAGACAAGGAAAGGGGAAGGGGGACGTGCCGATTGTTCGTTGATGTATGTTCATTCAATAATCTGTCGAGGCAACAAAACTAACTGCTGCCATGAATTCTCAGAACCGTATGTTTGCTTTGATACAGCAATTAGATTACAGGCTTGAAAAAATCAATCCATCCTTTTTGCTATTATTTCATCATAACAGACAAAGTTTGAATACAAAAGAACATTCCTTTCGTTATTAAACGTGTTTTCAAATTACACTTTCCGTCAGATTCCTGTAAGAGATTATGACAGTGTTTTAGAGGTGCTAGCTTCAATTATCATATATATTGGACTTTGAGACTGAAGAACACATCATGCATGTTTAAACACTCATCTAAATGTTAGAATCGAAATTTTTCTAAGTCATGTGATAAGTATATTCTGAATGGCGGTCGACAGGGGAGTGAGGTGACACATTTGGCAGCACCGTCCCCCACATCTACAGCAACGTCAAAGGCCTCATTGGCGTCATAAACTTCAAGGGGAACTTAACAAAATGTGTCTATGAACTACAAGCATATACTCACCCAATCATCTAATCCTACAGTGACGTTACAAGGCGTCACTGAGTTAAGGTGAACGAACGACTGTATACATAGTACGTGCTTCTATTCAAATATATTTCTGAACTCAAAAGCACTTTCGTAAAACTGAAAAATCTAAATTAAGGTATAAAAATAAACTAGCATAATGACCTTTCATTGCGCATAAGCCCTGGCTCTGAAAATTGACTACAGGCTGTGCAAGTCTTGCTTTATGCTCTCAGTCAGCCAGATGCGTTTTGCAACTAAATACTATTTACATCGTAATAAGGCGGGTTTAATTTTTTTATACTATCATCTTATGGCGTAGAATCCAATGGTGATTAATTACACCCGTTTTGTTGACTCAGCGCTTCATACTAGATATCACTACAGCCAAGAGGTGTATTTGCAAGGGAAGTCTATTTTGTTATTGAAAGTTATCAATTATTGACTATTGCTTAAGTGTCTCACTGAGAGGCATGCTATTTGCTCCGCGCTTCACGAGAGAGCGAGAGAGGGGAGAGATAGATATATGGATATATATATAGAGTCTCAACAGAGTGTTATTGATGTCAATTGTATCAACACAAAACACTAGACTTAGTCGATCGATTAAGGAAGCAAAACTTACTAATATTGATACACGGGTAGATATATGGGTGGACGGAGGGATAGGCAGAAACACAGATAGATAGATGCAGTTCACATCATTGATGTAAATAAAGCGACAAAGCAGTTTCACTTATCACAACAAATCTCTGCGAATTGCAGAGGCTATATCATATCAAATAGTGATCATGCCCCACCAGCGGCACCCATCACAAACACATGCAACGGCAAGTCCCTGAGCCCACACGAGAACATAAGGTTCAAATAGAAAAATAGAGATTTGCATGGGACATCATTTTGGTCACTGATGCCTCAAATTTGGATATGTCCTCCACATGTCCACCATAAACCTTTTTAAGCGATAATTGCCCTATAGATAATAAACATGAAGCCTTTAAGAACCTCTGAAGACAGAAGTGTAACTGTATATATGGTCACCACGTTCTGTGACAAACGCCCCATAGATCAAGAAATGAAGTTTTTGCTTAAGTTTGCTGTCTGGCATAGTGGTGTACAAAGAAGAAAAATATATATTTTGACAGAATTGAATCTTTCTGAGATCTTTTCTTATTGTATTAAGTATATCTTTGAGACAGAGGTATGGTTGTGCATTGCTGATCAAAGATTAAAGATTTGTAAACAATTCTAACAAAACACCTTTTACACATCAAATTACATGCAAGCATTATTGCTAATATTGTATTGGTGATTCATATATCATTGAGTAATGGGTCAGTCTGACCTTTTTAAGGTAGATTAAGTCTTAAAATATGTAATCTCCTTTCCCTCCGGAAGGCCATTACACGGGTAACAAATATACACTAGAAATGTAATATAACCACAGACGTGCTTACTGTCTACCAATACACGTTACAAACCCATATAAAATACCTAAACAATATGGCGGGAGAAAATACTTATTTGCCAAAGTCTGTAATGTGAGTTAATTCTTTAATAGATTTCAAATATATTACCTTTACATATTGATTAATGTAAGGTAATACCATCTTCCATGAATTCCGTAATAAACCTGTAGCCCAGAGGTTAAGGGTTGGCTCTTTACGTCGAATATACGGTTTCGATTTACCAAATGTTTGAAGCAAATTCTGGTTAAATATATCATTCAAGCAGCTTAAAATGTAAACTAAATTCGGTTGCACTAATTCACGTGTAGAATATATAATTATGGTACTTTGGGAATGTAACAAAATGTAATTTCTCGTAAAAGTTGTCTCCCTTAGCTGTAATAGGATCTCCTGGTTATCGCCCCCATTATGACCCTTGCCTTGGACTTTCATCACCCTTCCTCTCAGATTGCCAAATGCGTAAACTCTAAGATCTGCACATTAACTCAATACCGTTCAAGGAGGTGTTTAATCAATCTTTCTTTGGTTCGGCATATTTTGTTGTTGCTATTTAATTGGCGTATCATACGATTGAGGCCTGCGTTTTCGGGCTATATCTAATATCTAAGCTATGTTCCAGCCATATGATAATAAAGTAATCAGATTACTCGGTGTCGTCAGCGTTAACCCTTGTCACGCCCCTCCCCCCTCGATACACTGTCCCCTGGAGGCACACCTCTACACAATCAAGGAACTAATTTTCTTTGTTAGGACATTTTGCCATTTGAATGACGTTGTATGCCCTTAACGAAAGAGTATTAGCTTCTGGTAAGTCATTTAGCAGATAACAAGAACAGGCAGATGTCGGCGTCACACCACCAGTTAGCTAACGAGAGTGAAGGTATTTTCACATGTAACACTCCAGTTTGGTTCCAAATAATCCAAAGAGCTTAATATTTATTTAGATTGATAAGAACGCAATTTCAGTAAGTTAGTTGTGAAACAAGACATACAAGTGAAGGTACAACAAAGTGGGGTGTCCCAGGAAGTTAACATTGGGTGTCTGGAGTCCGAGCAGGTTCAAGTGGATTCCTGCCTCCGTGCTCCGTATTTCCCCAAGACACGTTAAGTCCAGAAATTTCCAGCATGATGCGTCGTATTTCATTTCTTGAAGCAATGTTCTGAATGTCCCGTTGCTGTTTTACGACAGGTAACATTTTACCTCTGAGGATTGATATTAGTTTGCCCTGGGCTTATCTGACTTATAGAGAACGTGGTCATCAGTGTTTAATGTCTGTCCTGAAGTCTGACCGTAGTCACCCTTATGTCTTATCTACATATCTATTGTACGCTGAACTGCCTTTCTCCTATATGTCCTCTGTTCTCGACTGTATACATATGTGTCCTCTGTTCTCGACTGTATACATATATGTCCTCTGTTCTCGACTGTATACATATGTGTCCTCTGTTCTCGACTGTATACATATGTGTCCTCTGTTCTCGACTGTATACATATGTGTCCTCTGTTCTCGACTGTATACATATGTGTCCTCTGTTCTCTACTGTATACATATTTGTCCTCTGTTTACGAGTGTATACATATTTGTCTTCTATTTACGAGTGTATACATATTTGTCCTCTTTTTACGAGTGTATACATATTTGTCCTCTATTTACGAGTGTATACATATTTGTCCTCTATTTACGAGTGTATACATATTTGTCCTCTGTTTACGAGTGTATACATATTTGTCCTCTATTTACGAGTGTATACATATTTGTCCTCTATTTACGAGTGTATACATATTTGTCCTCTATTCACGAATGAGTATATATTTGTCCTCTATTTACGAGTGTATACATATTTGTCCTCTATTCACGAGTGAGTACATATTTGTCCTCCACGCTATACTGTAGTCATACTGCCCTCAACTATATACATATATATTTTCTCCTCTGTTCTCAACTGTATACATATACAATTTCTCCTCTGTTCTCAACTATATATATATACATTTTCTCCTCTGTTCTCAACTATATACATATACATTTTCTCCTCTGTTCTCAACTATATACATATATATTTTCTCCACTGTTCTCAACTATAGAGATATATTCCTCTTTTCTCGACTGTGTATGTATTTTCCTCTATTCCCAACGGTATACATACTGTCCCCTATTCTCAACTATATATCTAGTCTTCTATTCTCGACTGAATACATATTTGTCATCCATTGTCCCTCTGGATATTTTTGCTTTTATATTCTCTGTTCTTGAAACGATGTCTAAATGTCTCTTCATTTGACATTTTGCAAGGCCTTTCGTCTGACCTCCTGTATGTCTTGATAGAGCACTCACAAATACCGTTATATACTGTGTGTATTCCAAAAGGTGTGGAATCATATTTATTAACTACATATTGTCATCACCTGTGAAGGGATCACGCGTTTGTTAATGATGCACCCTTGTCAAACTGTGTTTAATAACATCACGTGCGGGCGGGATTATTTTTATATCAGGTGGTCATTCGTACGGGGACGTAGCTAGCATTGTACAACTGTACTCTGCAACGTCTACTGTACTCCTAGACGGATAATCTACTCGCGACAGACACAACCGTTTTTCACAAAAACACCAGAGATGCATGGACACACTACTCGTGCATCTCAAAACTGTAGCATTGATATCTTTAACTTGAAAACTCGACAAAGGTTTTTTGCATTTGCCTATCGCAGAACCTTCTAACAAATACGTTTAAACTGAAG